CAAATGTCAGATCCAGTTTTCAAACTTTGGTCTCTCTTGTTTCCAAACCACATGGTTTATCTGTTGTTTTCTATTACTTCTTGGTTGGTTGTCACATGAGCGTTATTGACCCCCCAAGGCTAGGATTCCTAGAAATTGCACCTGAGAGCTTGAAAAAACTAACTCACCATTTATCTCAGAGTGACAGGGTAGTTCAGGTCTCCTGACAGTCTTGAGAATGAGGTTAGTCACCTCTTGTGTCAAGAGGTTATTTTCCTGTCCTTGAAATGTCACGCTTGTAAATAGCATTTTTAGGAAGTTCTTCTCCCCACCCCCCTTCAAAATAATCCTCCTTGTTCCTTTTCCTTCAGGAACTGACACTCAGATCAATGTTCTGAACTGAGATAAGTATCACACCTGTTTTAGTGGGATGACATCCAGGGACAGAATGTAAGCAGTGGGTGCTATTGGCGGAAGCGCTTGACTCATGGTGGAAACTCGTCATGTAAGATCATCTGGCTTCGCATGAAGGAAGCTCAGCCCAAGCATATGATGGCATCCTTTGTGCACTGGGTCATGCTGTGTTCCAGTGCTGACTACCGACCCCCTTCAACAGCCTTGTGGGGATACACCAGTTTCCATTAACTATGTGTAATTTGGTTCCTACTCTGTGCTCAGTAGAAAGGGAGAGGTCACATTATGATACCTCCTAATGAAGTTTCTATCCTTACTAGGGAAAAAGATGTTCTAAGTGTAGTTCTTAGAAAGTGTTGCAAGGTAAGACTCAGCAGATGGATTTGTGACAGGGGGTTTGAAATAATGGTGGCTAGGAACTGAGATGGATCATGGAACACCCCCTCCAGTCTTCCATGAGCTGTTCAGATTCTCCAAATACAAATCTAAAACAACAGAAGACCCCATGGCACTGCTTAGTCATATAAAATAATGATATTGATTGAAGTGAGGCTTGTAGAACTCAATTTCATTACTTTTTAGCCAGGCACTAACTTAATAAACAAGGCAATATCTGATCATGTGACAAAATATAGTCATTTCTCTGTGTTCCAGGAGGTAAGAAACACTGGACAATCAGAAAGAGATTTGGGAGAAGGCATTTGGAGAAGACAATGGCCGGTGTAAGGAGGAGGAATTGTCTCCTGGTGGTATCTTCTAAAGTGTCTTAGATATTAGCACTAAAGACTTTAGACTTTATGCCATGGACATTCAGGTTTCAGGGTGAGAAAGTCAAGTGCATTCTGATGTGCTTGCTCGGGGTTTGTGAGTGGCTGGTTAAGCTTGGAGGTGGGAAATCAAGAAGCAACTTATCTTAGTGGTGTTTCAAAGTGGATGGGTGTGTGGTGGGCGTCAGGGTCTGGGTCCTCCAAGGAATCAGTGGAGCTGGCAGCCTTGGCTAAGCTGTAAAGTAAGCGTGAGGATGTAATAGGAGTGAAGCATTGGCCAAGAGAATTATTGTCTTGAAGACAGATCTCAGGACACTGGCTCCTTCTTTTTCTAACTCTGTGTTCTTTGTGAGATGTGAGGCAAGATGAGCTCAGCAACAAGGAGGTCAAAAAAGAAAAGGATTTTGTTTTCTTTTTGTAGTCTTTTTTAGCAGGGGAGCTAGAGTAGGAAATACTCAGAGCACTTGGGGTGGGCTACAGAACAGCAGAATAGGCACCCACATGCACTGGAGGCCTGGCCCCCTTTTTAATTTTTTTTTTCCAGACAGGGTTTCTCTGTATTGTTTTGGAGGCTGCCCTGGCACTCACTCTGTAGACCAGGATGGCCTTGAACTCACAGAGATCCGCCTGCCTCTGCCTCCCAAGTGGTAGGATTAAAGGCATGTGCCACCAACGCCCGGCTCCCCCCCCTTTTTTTAAAATCTTTTTTAATCTCATTCTCGTTATGAAGGTTTCATGGTTGTAAATAGAGTTTAGAGGATTTTCAGGTTCTACTGTTCATGTCTAAAGGGCAGAATCTTGGGCAGCAACTTCAGGATCAACATGGTCCACTCAGGGGCTCCCCATTGAAGCCCACAGTAGCGGGGCTCAAAGGATGGCACCAACCTCTATAAACGTGTGCAACTCAGCTCTGTTGGACTCAGAAGCAGGAAGAACCATCACCACCCTAAGATGAGGGCGAAATGGCTGTGTTCTGGGAATACTCTGAGTTCACGAGAGTCTTCTGGAAAAGGTTCTGAGGTTGGCGTGAGTTCAAAAGCCCTGTCGAGGCTGAAAATGGAATCTGAAGTTTGGCTGTGCGGCTAGAGCAGGCGGCGGCCACTTACATCACGGAGCCATATAGTTTTGGTAACAGTCCGTGGAGAGTGATAGTTGTGGTAAAGGCGGCTTCCTGGTGGAACAGCACAGAGAGACCCGAATGATACCGAGCTTCTTTACTCATCCCTCGGTATCTAAGGCCCCTGTGCACTTGGCAGACGCGGAGATCATAAGAGGCAGGAGGAGGGCATCTTAGGAAGGTGTCAGGAAATGCGGTAGACAGCAGCTAGATGGACAGTCTAATTAAAGGAGCTGGGAACTGCAGAAGACAAAGGCTGATGGCCGTCTGGGAAGTGCCTGCCTGCTTGGATGTTGCTAACAGGGCACTGGCTACCCTGGAGGTTTGGGAGAGCTGTGTGTGTGGAAGGTTGACTGCAGGGGACTAAGACTTTAGAGGCTGTGGGAGGAAGCAACCGCAAACTGTTGAACCGTTTAAAACGCGTGGAAGAAAAGGAGAGGCACTAGGTCCCAGTTTCTGTTCTGGTATCAGCCTGCCTGCCTCTGATTACATAACAGATAGCCCTTCCGGAAAAAAATGGGATTTGATTGAAGGACTTAAGGGAGGTTTGGGAGGCGGGATCTGTTATTAATTTTATCGAATCAGCCATAATGAGAGGAGGCCAAGCCATTAGGTGAAAGGAGGGTCATGGATTCATTAATTACCCAGAGCCAGAATGAGGAAATTTAGTTGGAGCATTAGATAGCACAAACAACTTTGAAAGCAGAAACTGGATGCTGTCCTACACCCCCACTTTGGCTTTGAAGGCATCTTGAAGCCCTATAACTGGATAGCCAGGAAAAGACCTGGAATCACATATATGTCCTAGCTGGGTGACCTTGGTACCTTGGTAAAGTTCCTCGTCTGGAAAACAGAGCAATAGGAATGTTAAAAAAACAAATAAGATTGTACATGTAAAATATTTAGCTCCACGCCAGCACATGGTCAATGCAAGATCTTATTAATGTATTTAAAACGCTTTATTGAGGCATGATTATCATGGAAAAAAGCTATTTAATGCGCGTAACTTTATATAGCCATCTGTACAGTATCATCCCTGTCACCACCTCCAAACAAGCCTCCCTCTCTCCCTTCTTCCCTCCCTCCTTTCTTCCCCCTTCTTCTATGCTAAAAACCCTCTTAGAAAAATTTAAGTATTGCAACACAGTATTTTTAATTAGTCATTATGCTGTAAAACAGATCTCTACAATGATTCTAAAATGTCTTAAAATGTTTGGACCACCTGAGACTTGAGTTAAAGTGAATCACCCACCCCCACCTCTGTTCCTTATGTGACCTTGGGAAAGTGCCTTAACCTTTTGTACACTTTTTTTTGAGGGGGCAGGTGTCTTGGATTACTGGAGAGAATCACTAAAGCAAGAGAGTATTGAAGTTGTGTGCCCACTTGTGATCTTTTTTCTATCCCCCCCCCCCAAGCCAGCTTACAAATAGCAACACAGAGACTTCTTATTAATTATGGAAGTCCGGCCTGTATAGCTTAGGCTTGTCCCACAAGCTCCTATAACTCAGATTAAACCATTTATATTAATCTACTTCTGTCGAGTGGCATTGGCACCCTTCCATCTTGTACCTCCTGTTTCTTCTCCATGTCTCCTGTGTGCCTAGATCATCTCCTTCTATTTCCTGTCTCTACCAGGAAGTCCTGCCTATACCATAACAGTCAATAACTGTTCAGCTCTTTATTAAACTAATCACAGCCATACATCTTCACACAGTGTACAAATGTCCCACAACACCCACCAGCTGTGTGTCTCTTGTGGTTTCTTTCTGAGTAATTACTAATTGCAGAATATCTGTGCCGATGTACACCATCAGTGCTCTGCCAAGGCTGTGCAGGACCCCGACTCCTTCCCTCCCGCCACCGAGGGAAGGTTCTTAATCACCTGTAAAGCCACCATTGCTTCTGCTCCTCTCTCCTGATCAGCAGGTCACATTACTTCCCATGGTGACTTAAGAACAGATGTGGTTTTTTAATAACCCAGAGAGCTTACAAAAAAAATTAAAGTCATCCATTGGTGTTGGTAATGACACTCTTCTTTTGGGAGACGGTTAAGCTCTTGTGCTGGGCCTCTGCTCAGCTGCACCAGCTGTTCCAAACTTTGTTCTGAGGAGCTGTGTTGTTGGAAATATCTCCATCCCCACATTGCAGTCAAGATTCTGTCCTGTATTCCTGTGGCCAGAAAGCAACTGGTATCTTTTATGCTGCCCTTCCTCAGTGGGGCCCAGGAAGCTGTCTGTTCCTTTGATATCTATCAACCACAAATGAGTGCTGTTCTGCAGAACTTGCTGATAACTGGGGTGTTCAGGTAGAAGCATGCCATCCCATTCAAGGGCACTTCGAATACTGCCATTCATAATTGGTGGTCCTATCTCAGAGAGGAGAATTGGCCCTTCAGTGAACCAAGTCGTCACATTGTTTGAGATATGGCTGTCTTCCATGATAGCAATTTCTAGCAAAATCCTATTCTCATTTCATCCACAAAATATGAGCTGAACTGTCCAGAATGGGCCTGTATTTCAGCCCTGTAATCCTCACTGGTAAACATGAAGGATCAGTATGTTTTCCTCAAGTTCTGACCTTTCATTCTCAAGGTGATAACATTTTTTTCAAACCAATCTTCTCTGGTTTAAAGCTAATAATGATAGAGCTTCTTGCACAAGCCTGAATCTCACCTTCCCACACCTACCCAGGTAAGTAAAAGAATAGATAGGAGGCAGGAAGATAAGGGGACAAAGAGTATGAGAAATGTTTATTGAGAAGGAAATGGAACATGTTCTGTTTCAGGAGTTAACAGAACAATGTGTTAAGTGGCTGGTTCCAAGGATGATCCCAGTGAATTTGTGAACAGCTCTGCCAACTATAGTGTCACTAATGAGAGTCCCTGATAAGAGTGATAGAACCATTCATTTCTAAATAAAGTATTCATTCAACTTCATTTAGGTTTAGATTTACTTCCCATAAAGAATACCGATATTTGTACTCCAGTTTTCAGAGTCCTTGGTCACTGTGATGCTTGGTCAGTAAGTCAGCGTCATTTTCTTGCAGTTTTCAGGTACAGGTGGCCAACACTGAGCGTTCCTTTACCCCTCTACTATCTTTGGCACAATTTCTGGCTTCTTACACATAAAACCATGGGTTTAAGGTGGCTAATGATACTACAGAAACACAACTGTTAATAAGGTATCTCCATGTTAAGTACAAGTTTTTGTTGAGCTTTATTTACAAGAGGAGGGCGGAAGTGTAGACTTTTGATAAACTGTCTTTAGAAGTGAGCAGGAGAAAGGTAGGCAGAGGAATCTGAGCAGCAAGGCCAAGATTCTCCGAACAATCCTTTCTGAAGGAGGAGACAGAAGGGAACAGAAGTGTTTCCCCTGAACCACTGGTACTGGTAGTTCACAACCTGGGTTTTATTCTGTAAGAGTACAGTATAGAGCTGGGCATGATGGCACATGCCTTTGGGCATGGTGGCACACACCTTTCAGCCTTGCACTAGGGAGGCCGAGGCAGGAGGATCTCTGTGAGTTAGACGCCAGCCTAGTCTACATAGTGAGTTCGATGACAGCCAGTCTTATGTAGAGAGACCCTGTCTCAAAACAAACAAAACAAAAAAGTAAAAAAAAAAAAACATATAAAATAAAAAGAATACAGTATAGGGATAGCTTGGTCACCTTGCACTTGGCTTTTTCAACTTAGGCAGCCCATTTTGAAACACAACTGGTGATGGCTTGCCACTGTTGTCTCTGCCCCGAGGGGCAAAGAGGACCAAGGGCAGTGAAGTGACAACCTTGCGGAGTGGACCTGAGTGTACATGAAGAGCGAAGCCTTAAAGCCTTGTTTGGCTCTGAGCACATCCAGGCTTTGGGAGAGCGGCCTTTGTAAACCCATTTATTCACTGCCAACAGGGACTCTCTCCCTGAAGGGACCTTAAGCCTGGAAGTTATAAATGATTGACTGTGCCACCACAGAGTTTGACTGTAATACATTTCTGCTTCAGGGCTGAACACAGTAAGCCAGCAACTTAATTTCTCATCCCAGAGCTCCTGATGGTGTTCTGGTGGGCTCCAAAGTACACTTGAGCTTGAATCGCAGGGTTTGTTTGTTTGTTTGTTTGTTTGGTCTGTTGGTTGTGTTTTGGGGACAGTGTTTCTTTGTGTAGCCCTGGCTGTTCTGGGACTTACTTTGTAGACCAGGCTGGCCTCAAACTCACAGAGATCTGTCTGTCCCTGCATCTCAAGTGCTGGGATTAAAGGCATGTGCCACCACTGCCTGTCTTGGAATTGCAGTTTTGATTCAAGTACAAGGAGAACGTCTTATTTCACATTGATAGTTCATTATTGACCTCTGTCTTGCAAATCATATGAAAATAATAAATATACACACATATACATACAGTTCTATACTGAACACTGGATAAACAGCTACCAGCATCCCAATACAGTACATAGAATAAAAAACTCTCTCCCTTTCCCTAACCCCACAACTATCTTAAAACTATTATTGCAGAACTATGCTGAACTATGCTGAACCTTCTTTTTTTTTTTCTTTAGAGTAGTTTGGGAGTGACTGAAGATGAGGTCAAAATGGAAAATTTGGCACTTTAACTGGGCGGGACTGTTGAGATGCATCATAATCTATAAAAAGTTAGAAGGCAAGGGAAGTTATGCTAATAGAAAGCCTGAGTAAAAATTTGTAGCCAATAATAATATTGTTTAAAAACCCCAAACATGGGTCTACTCTCGAGAAAGCAATTTCTCTTCCGTATATATTACCTAGTTCCAACAGTTAACTACTTCATATACTTCTAGATCTTGTTTTATAGAATTAGAAAATCCAGATAACACAGCTGTCTTAATTTCCTTTCATTCTACCCCACCCCAAATTCCAAAACCCAGAGAACAAAGGCTATTAAGCCAAATATAGAAAATAATCTGGAGGTCTGTTTATCAAACTAAATGTACAATTGACTCTTAGTGTTTCTCTCATTCGGTAATGTTGGAGTTTGCTAGGAGATGACTCCCGTGGAGATGTCCGCCTCATCCCAGTCATCTGAGGCTGGGCCTCTAGAACTGTGAGGTCTGGGTGAATGAAATGGTATCAGACTTGTCCACTGAAAAGCCACCATTGACATAGGACTTCTTGGTATCTGAGTCTTCATTATCAAGGATTGTGGGTTCCAAAGCAAAGGGGTTCACGATGTTGACTTCAGATGAGACATCCATCTGCTCCAACTCCTTCTTGGAGAGCTTCTCCACAATGCCGGTCCCAAATGCATCACCCAGAACGTTCACCATCGTCCTGAACCGGTCCCTGGCAAAGAGACAGGAGAGTCAGAATGGGCCAGATTTCATCTTCCTCCACTGATGTGTGGAGAAAGAAAAGGTTCTGATGAATTCAGTGCAGAATGCTGTTCCCCTGCCTCAACAGGTGCCTCACTGGCCTGGGGCAGACAGTGACTCCCAAAGGGACAGAATGAGAAAATGGGCTCTACATGGCCCATGCTCCCAGAAAGTAGCAATGACCTCTCAGGCTCCAGAAATTCCCTCATGTCTTCCCAAATAAGAATGGGGTCTCCACAGAGATACATGGAGGATACCAAGGATGGCTCAGAACTCAGTAAGTCTTTAAGCTCTGAGTTCGCTTTTGTAGCTTTCCTAGGTACAATACACTGGTATTATGTACTCTCTTTTGGCTACGATGAGGGAATATGAACATTTGGCTGGGGTGGATGGTGCCAAGTATGCAGGCTTCAGATGTGTCCTCAGTGTACTCGTTTCTTTAGCAAACAAAGTCACTCTGTTAACAAACCGGCCAACACATGGAAGAACATGGCATTCAAAAATATAGGCCAGCCCAGAGATGGACTCCTCTTTGATACAACCCCCCATTTGCCATAATCCCAGGCAGGCCAGAGAAGAGGCCATAGAAAAGGCCTACAGAGGGGTGCCCATTTTGATATTGAGGATTTGGTGAAAACTGTGAAATGGATACTCTTGTGAGCTGACATTTGTGAGACAGGAAAGGCCAACAGTGACTGTACATTGCCACCGTGGAAGACCTTCTAACAGGAGCAGTACCACAGACTCTACTGGCCTAGCATCCTTGCATCATATAGTTTGGGTCTTATACTTATCTTGGTAGAGAGTCACTGCTTCTAGGAAAAGCCAGGATTCAAATTTGCCTGGTTTCTTCCTTTACCGGAGATGCCCGTTCTGTGCAGTGTCATGGCTTCCAAGTCAGGTACAATGTTGGAAACTCAACAGCATGACTTTTTTCCCATTCTCCAATCTTAGCTCCTGTGTAAACTGTACAACCCTGGTCTGTCTCTAATCTGAAACAAGTGTGGAGCTACACTTGACTCCGGTGGCTAGGGGCAGAGCCACACCTTGCTACTGGAAGGTAGACGTGCATTTCAAAAATAAAACCAGAGACCAATTTCAATTTTGGACATCAAGGGGGCACATTCTCACACAGATGCTCTGTGCACGGGGGATGTGTGTGTAAGACAGAAGAAAGATGTCGGGAGCAAAGTGGTTTGACTCGTTGCCGTCGCAACAGCAGAGCTTTCCCTTTGTTGACCATGAGCTGAACTGCCAGGCATACTTGTAGACACTTGGCTCAGATGAGCCCATTTGGTCCCTACGACAAGCCACTGAGGTAGGCATAACTGTCCCCATCTCAGAAATAATGCAATGGGCCTCAGAGGGGTTAAGGAACATGCTCAAGGTTCCAAGGCTAGTAAGACCAGATGAGGATTTGAACACAGGTGTATGCTAAAACCAGCCCGGAGGATTCCAAAGACACCTGGAAAGATACAGTAATTTCGAAGCAGGTGGCCCTGTGTTTATCAAGCTAACGGGGCTGGGAAATGTGGGGATGGCTATGGGGCTTTGCCCCGATCCTTCACTATATGGTCTCGTATTGAATCTTGTCTTCTAACCTTAAGTGTCACCAGTGAGCTGATGGAGCTCACTGACCTTTGAGAAACCCTGCTGAAGTCATGAAGAGTTAAATTTAAGCATGTTACCAGATGGCTTTGCCAAAATGAAGCAAAAGCAGCAGCCGATGGCTTATTAGGCATTGCGAGGAGAAAAGCAGAGTACAGCAAAGACTCTGTGTGGCTAGGGAGCTGCCTGCACAACCAACAGAAGCAGGGGCATTTATTCCAACTCACAGGAGCCAGTCCACAGCGATGATGAGGGTGACATCCTCAGCAGGCAGGCCTACAGCACTCAGCACGATCACCATGGTCACCAGGCCAGCCTGTGGCACGCCAGCAGCTCCAATGCTGGCAGCTGTGGCTGTGATACTGTAGCCAAAACACAGTAGCAGGAAAGGGTTAGACCGAAACAGGTTCCGTGCCTGGTACTGTTATGTTTCTACAGTGGACAGTTAGAACTTACTTGTTAAATAACCAGTTCCAACTCATGTGTACCTGCCTGTAATTCATTCATCCACCCATCTGATATCTGATATATACATTACACACACACACACACACACACACACACACACACACACACACACACACACACGATGGGAGCTGCTGGGGCTTACGAGGAACAGGATGTCATGGCAGCAGGAGAGCATTTGACAGGTCACCCTAAAACAAGGAAGTATAGAACAGCAACACGTGACATCAATGCTGAGGCAGAATTACTCAGGATGGGAGGAATTTACCACCAGGAGTTTTTATCCAAGGCTTTATCTACCCATCCTAAGTGCCAGATCCCTCCCTGCTTGTGTCCTTCCTCTTTCGGTCTCTGCTGCTCAATCATCTACAGAGCACTCAGCACTCAGTGCCAGGAATTTCTGTTGCCTGGGAAGGCGACTAGAGGGACAGTGGAGTGGACAGGCAAGGATGTGTGCGGTGAAGGCAGTGGTTAAGCAGGTTTACGTAACTTCCCGACATCACAAGACTCTTGCCCTCTCCAAGAACACCTGTTCAGGGCACTGAATTGAGCAACTGTGACCCCATCCATGGTACAAGCATTCCTGACTGGTCCTTCATTCCAGCAGGTGCACTTTATGCTGAAGGAAGAGAGATCTGGAGCCCAGGGTAGGTAGCCACAGGAACTTAGTTACCATGTATTGGACAAAATCTCCCTTGAGCACACACAACAGGACAGGGATTTTCCCCCTGGCTGCAAATTTCTCACCAGCAGTATGTTTATTTTAATTGGGTCATTCTGGAGGAATCAAGGCTCACTGTGCCCTGAAAGTCCTTTGAATTGAATGAGCTGGCGGGGCACCCACAGTGCTTTCCGGAACTACGCCTCACCCTCAGGCTAAAGTACCACTTCCAGATGCAGGTGGGCTGAAAGGCAAAGGCGCAGAAACTGCTGAGTTCATCTCAACGAAGCCAAATCTAGCCATATTCACATCCCCCTGGGTCCCAGAGGTCTCCGCATTCTCAGAAAACAGATTGTGCTGCCCACTCATCTGCCTAGTGCTGTGTTCTAGAGGCTGCTCACCGGTCAAAAGCCAGCCAGGCTCTTTGCTTAGTACTAAAGCATCCCAGTTCCTTTTGTGGCCATGGCTACCCGTTTGCAGTGACTTAGAGAGTTCTGGAGCTGTACCAACATCTCTAAAGTTTGAGGCTTACATCATCCATCAGAGCTGTCCTTCCTAAGACCTCTTTGGAAAAATCCAACTTTATTTCCATGCTGGTTGAAAATTTAAACAATGTCTCTTTAGGCATGTGCCCAGGCTCACTGATCCCCCTCGAAGCCTTAACATGTCATGGTTAGCCATGTCCTTACAAGCTTGAGGCTGGACTTCAGAATCCATTCAGTCTGCCCTTGAGCCTTGACCTTGCTCAGAGAACTTCTGTCATTTGACTGGCTTTGGGGTGACATTCAGAACATTGTATCTTCAGATAAGGTGAAATAATATGAAAGCCTACTCATCTGCTTCAACCTTTCCTGCTTCAGTAAAAGGGTTTTCAGCTTCTGAGATACAGGGTTCTCTCCCAGCACACAGGGGCAGCAGGATTGGAGGCTGGGCTGTGAAGTAGTGTGGTCATAGATTTCTGAGTCAGACACATCTGACTGCGTTCCTGGTTCTGCCAATTTGCTATGAGCATTTTCTTCAGCAAGGTGTTTCTCTGAATCTCAGCTCCTTGCCTGCATCTGAGGGATTGGATGTCTTCTATGTAGACGAAGTTGTATAAAGATCAGGATAGTGCCTGTGCAGCAAACTGTAAATAGGCCACTTTTGCTGTTCTGCTAGGATCAATACACATGACACCCTGAGTACAGCTGCTGGCTGAGCATACTGAGGGACCAGGAGGCTAGCAGCTGTGTGGTAGGGAGGCAGACCCGGCAAAGAGGCTCTAGGTAGATTAATGTACTTTCCCATAAACATTGAGGATGGCTACTTCCTCCTCCCACTGTAAGACAAAGACTTGCTGTTTGTCCTGCCAGAGGGACTATGTGGTATTGACTTTTACATGGAGGGAGGGGCTCTGATTGTGGGAACCAATCAACTTTTCTTTGTCCAGATTACACAATCCAGCTCAGACTAGCCAATCCTGAGGGAGAAAGGGAACTCATCAGCCCTCAAACATGAAAGTTTTGGCTCTGCCAGGAAAATTCAGATTCTGGCTTCTGGATTCTCTCTACTACTGGGGGAGCTTGTCTCTTTGTGTGGTGTGGTATGGTGTGTGTGTGTGTGTGTGTGTGTGTGTGTGTGTGTGTGTGTTTTCAATAAAATCTGGCTGAGTGCTGAGACCTTGCCTTGCCTGTCTTTTTATTCTTTAAATCAGCATAGGACTTTGTTCCTGTAGCCCCAGTCAGCCTCACCATGATGATGTCAATATCTCTTCTGGAAATTCAACATCCTAAATGCTCCAAAATCTAAGAATGTGACAATATGAATGGAAAATTCCACACATGATCTCACATGACAGATCATAGTCAAAACCTAAGCACACCACAAATACTTCATATGTGTATGAGTATATATGCCTATGTAAACATAAATGAAGCTGGCCCAGTTTCATCAACCCTGAGATCAACTGGAACCCACGTCTGTCCCTCAGACACAGTGCAATCCAACAGGGCAGTCTGCAGTGATGGGACTATTCCACACCTGTGCTACCCAGTTTGGTCAGCCATTGGCCACACAGGACTAGTGGCCACATAATGCCATCCTGGGAAACAACCAGTGCCATTTCTACCACCACCTCAGTCTTCAGTTGCCTTGAATTCTTTTGGCATCAGACACTGAGCCATTTTAATCCTTGAAAATAAACCACTTGAAAACAAACCGCTCTAGGTTTCCACAGTACCCCTGGCTTCCTCCCACCTCCCGTCCTTCCTCCCTCCTATCCACCTCTAATAGGATTTTCTGAGGCTTTGCCCTCAGTTTCTCCTTCTTTACAAATTCTTCCTGCATAATGTCATCCATTCCTAACATTTACTGGGGACTCGCTGGGTAGGCACCAAGACTTTATAAACATACTCTTCCTTAATTATCATATTTGAATAAATCATAGACACTATTATTTCCTCCACTTACAGATGAGAAAGCAGAGCTTAGAGAACTCAGACAGCTTGCCCAAGGTTACAGTTATAACTAGTCATAGTGTTACTGATTCAGACTCCTGGCTTGTCACCCACATGTCCTATGACCACTGTTAAGTGGCTGACCATGACTTTGGGTTTGTAGTTCAGATCTATATATTCCATCATTTTCACAATTTCTGATGTTTAAAATTTTCCTTTTCTTTTGGTTTTTCAAGACAGGGTTTCTCCGTGTAGCTCAGGCTTTCCTGGAACTCACTCTATAGACCAGGCTGGTCCTGAACTCGAGATCCGACTGCCTCTGCCTCCTGAGTGCTGGGATTAAAGATGTGTGCCACTACTGCCTGGCTTAAGTTTACTTTTATAAGTGTGTGTGTGTGTGTGTGTGTGTGTGTGTGTGTGTGTGTTTGAGGATATATGTGTGTGAGTACAGGCACCTATGTAGGATAGAGACACTGGCTCCCCTGGAGCTGGATTTCTAGGCAGTTTTGAGCTACCAAGCATGGGTAGCTTCTTGGGTCCTCTGGAAGGCATTTCTCTCAACTACTGAGTTATCACTCCAGCCCCTAGAATTCTTAAAGGCATTCAAATTCAACGTGTCAAGAAGAATATACCATCCCCCTCTTGCTTTTGCTTCTCTTGTTCACATGAGCTCAAACCACCCATCTCAGCCTTTTCCTGTCCCTTAGCCTGAATCCAGATGGTGACTCTATGACTCACTAACTCAGAGGTGAGCCAGTATATATATGTCTTGATAGAGGCCATTTGGTGACTTACTGATCTTCTAGTTTGTGGTCCCTGCTCCCATCCAAGCCTCCCATCATACTGCTAGTTATATCTTTAAAATTCAAATCTGTCCATGATATTATAAACTGTTATACTAGATCCTCTACACAGGGCTCTTATGGCCAAAGAATCTGGACTCTGATTAGGCCATGAGATACTTCTGCTGTTCTGAGCTCTTAGAGTTTGCCCTTTTCCTGCTAAATTCTTATTCCTCGTCTAAGATTCACCTATACTTCCCAGCCCTCTAGGAATCCTTCCCTTCTCTTCCCAGGTAGAGTTAACTCTTCCCTCATTGGGGCAATCCTGTGACCCCGATTAATTTTCCATGAGAGTTCTAACACAGATCAGTATTTATTTGGGCATCTAGCCCCCCACTTACCAGGGACTCCTGTTAGAGCAGGGGCTGATGCTTATTTAACCTTGAGTCTCAGGTGTCTAATCTGTGCCTGGCATTGTCTGGCACCTATTGGTCCCATTAAGCTGAGCAGAGAGATGCTTCAGGTACCAAGATCCTGAAGCAGGAGTCACGTGTACCATGAGTCCACCCCCTGTCTTCATCTCCGTCAGAGACTTGTAAACCAATAGGACATCCCATCTCTAGGTCCTTCTTGGTCTGCCTGCATGGATCATGCTTACTTGAGGCAGTCCAAGGAGCAGTGATGCAAATAAGCAGGCTCACCTGATGGTGATGATCTGTCCAATGCTCAAGTCCATGTCATTGAGCTGTGCAATAAACACGGCTGCCACGGCCTCATAGAGCGCAGTGCCATCCATGTTGATGGTGGCACCAACAGGCAGCACGAATCTTGTGATCCTCTTGTCCACCTGGTTCTTTTCTTCTGCACAGCGGAAAGTAACTGGTAGGGTTGCTGAACTGCAGGATCAACGGAAACTAATTTAGGTCTAAGAATGCCAGGCCTCGGTCTCCACCCAAAAAGAATCCCTGTCGCCTAAAAAGTGAACAAAGGGCCCCAGAGCATGCTGGGAATTAAAATAATTTATTATATTATTTTTATGTGCATGGGTGTTTTGCCTGATGGCATGTCTGTGTGGCTAGTGCCCACAGGGGTCAGACAAGAGTGTTGGTACTCCTGGAATTGGAGTTACAGTAGTTTGTGAGCCATTATGTGGGTGCTGGAACTTGAACCCCGGATCTCTCCAGCCTGTATGCTGGTACTTTTGGCCAATCCAGGAACTGGAAGGTGCTGTGCCTACCACTGCCCCCTGTTTCACCAGAATGTTTTCTGGGTATCAGGCCACAGACAGAGTATAGGAAACATTCAAAAGGGTGGAGAAATACATTCCAGGAGATGGGCAGAGAACACAGGCACCATCTCTCAAAGGGTCTGTCCAACCAGAAGCTGGAACCATCTCCACCAAGTGACAGAAGTGACGAAGCATCGTCTGGAGGCTGCTCTGAGACACTCTTGTACTTACCTGGAAGATATCATGAGAGCTGTCAGGAGAGCCTGCGCCATGCCCAAGGCAAACCGGAAAGGGTTCTTGCGCACAATTATGAAATAGATGAGTGGCAGAACCACAGTGGAGTGGATGGCAAGCCTGCAGAGAGAGGGGGAAGCCTTAGGACCACTTCCCCAGACTTGAGCCCTGTGCTCAATCACCTTTTAAAACGACGACATCTTTAAACTTGCATAAAAACCCAGTGGGACAGGGATGCTCCCTTCAAGGTCACATCTGTCCCCAACCATGCTACCTCATTATTGCTTTCATCACAGCCCACCCCATCCTGTTCTCTGGACTAGGCTCGGGGATGGTGTCTACTATTTAAGAAGGAAGCCAGAGTTGCAATAGAGAGAAACTTATACTTTAGGTCTGGCCCGCATTTCTTTATTATTCCCGTCTTCCCAAAGTGCCTCACATAGGAATCTACTGGTTACTCTAAGTGGGGTTGACTAAATGAGACCCACTAGTAGATGGTGTGTACACATATGTGACAAGTTGATGGTTCAGTTAGACAAGATTGAATAACAAGCAGTGACCACTACAAATAGGAATCTTGAGGGTCTGAGGAGAACATCTTCTTAGTCCAGAGAATCATGAGACCTTAGCTATGATGTTTAGCTTTCTGTTAGAAATAGAATAAGAGATAGAGCAAGAGGCAAGAACTCAACAGACCCCCATTATAAAATGGCTTATTATCTGAGATCTCAGCTCCATCACTGCCCACCCCAGGCCCTGGTATTGCCAGCAGCTCCAGGGCAGGGCTGTAGAAGGTAGAAGCCCTGCCTCTCTGATCTCTGTGGTCTCAACTCTGACCCTCACGCTGTAAGACAAGCTGCCTCTATATGGCTGGAAAGCTGTGTTTTGGGCACACTGGAGTTAACAACCAATGCTGTGTTGTGGGAACTCCTCGATGTAGCAGGTTCTGAGAGGGAAGCTGATGGCTAAAGCTGGGTGTTTGGCCCATGGAAAGCAAATCAGTGTCATTTACTCATTCTCTTGCTCCACATTTCTTAGTAGATGGGACCATTCTGTCCTTGGCCAGGTGTTTGGTGGCATCTCTTCTGAAGGAGCCAACAGCTGTGTTGTAAGGGACTTAGCCTCTCACCTTCTTGTTTGTTTTATGACCTCTGAAAGGTATCAAACACTTACTGAACAGCCTGATGATCTCTCCAGCACCCTGACACCCTGATGACACAGGACACAGCAGTAGCCACCAGCCCAGCAAGAACATCAGAAGCAAAACCAGTCCTATGTTCTTGAGATGGAATTTTTTAGGTCCTTCTTAATTTCTTTCAGCCTTGGGATATGTGGGAGGCATTCTTCCCTGCATGGCTAGTTTACATTCTAAAGGAAGCAGAGGGCAGGAGATAGCCCCAAGAGCCTACAAATGAATTTTTCTCGTGCTTTAAACCCAATAGAGGCAATGGCAAAGGCTGTTCTGCTAGGAGCTGACAATTAGCACAGCATGATCCACCTACGGCACAGCTGTTAAAGGGTGGCCTTGATGCTCTCTTACCTCCAAACCCCATCTTTCCCTGCACATGGAAGAAAAGCCACGTCTAACCAGCTAACCCTGGCCTCTCTACAGTCACACTAGTGCATCAGCCGCGAATTCTGTTTCTTCTCTTGAGTCGGACATACCCACTCAGGACAGTGGCCATGTAAAGGCCCAACTTGCGGAATATTTCCCAGTCTTCCACTTCTATGATCTTCCCAGCAATTAGGAACAAAATACCAATCGGCATGTAGCTAGAAAGCAAACACAGGAAAGTCACAATTCAGTCATCAGAGCATTTCTCAGACAGGATGCTGGGAAGGGAACAAGATAGTGTGGGCATGCTCAATGTGCATGCTCATGCCACTAGGAGGACCACAGGAAGCCAGGGGTTCAGTTTCAAGTTCAGCATGCACAACTGTCCTTAGTATCTGCATGCTATCTTCATTCTACTCACCCCAAATTAAGGGCAGCTGGTAAGAATGCGTGCTACAGAAGCACCCATACAGTGCACACCCCCGCCCCAGCGACTGTCATATCTGCTCATGTCATATGCACACATATCTTAGTGACTGTCATATCTGCTCCTGTCATATGCACACATATCTTATCTGCTCATGTCATATGCACACCCCCAGTGACTGTCATATCTGCCCATCTCATATGAGCAAAACCTTTCCAGCTATGATCATCTTGCTTCTCAGGTGTAATTTGTAGAGGCAATAGCAACAGTGGTGGAGCTCTATTTAGCTATGTCTTATCCTGGGAAAGTATTGTACACACATCATTTCCCCTAATGTTTTTCCTCTAGCCCAGGAGGTAGATTTTACTACTTTTTCTTACAGACGGTGAAGCTGAGGTTTTAGTGGGATTAAGTGACATCCTTGGCTGTTACCACCGGATATTTACTGTCAGCTTCTACCATTTGGATTATGAAATGTTGAGCCAATTCCACATGAGCTAGGGGAGGGAGAGGTCTTCCAGGAAAGCTGCACTTTTGGGCATCTCAGAGGCAGGACAGACAGGCGGTATCCCTTGATGCCAGAAGACAGTTTTCTCGTTCAGATGCGGTCATGCCAAGACTAGAACAGTTGTGACATTTTGAATTTCATTTCTGCATAGGGCCTAAGAAAAGCACCCGGTGTTCATATACCACAGGAACTTTCTCAGATCCCTTCTGACAATACTGGGTAGGTATAGGCTGCTCTCCAGGCCTCTGAGGCAAGAGACAATGGCTGACAGACTTTCAAGACTACACTAACTCCTGATGATGGTGTGAAATTAGTTAATACTCCAATCTTGATTTTAAATGTCTGCCTTCTCTAGGGAGGACCTGCTGAGGAATGTATGCCTCTTCTTTCATGTTCTGAGAAGGTGTTATCAGGGGAAGGAAAATAGCGCTTGTCAGCGCTGCTTACCACATGATGATCTGGACGATTTTCATGGTTGCATCACTCAACGCGTTGAAGAAATCCACCAGAATCTGCCCCTTTTCTCCCATTTTCCCAATGACAAGTCCGAAGACAAGGCAAAAGATAATTAAGCCCAAGACATTGATGCCATCTGAATACAGGCCCACGATTTTATATTCCTTTGTCCTGTTCTATGGATCAAAACCAAGAAAACACACTGAAGCAAGCTGGGAATTTAGTGATCTAAGTCAGAAGTGTAATGATAAGAGGGACGTCTACATGTGAAACACTTTGCCCTTGGCCACTGAGGTTTAAGGGGCTGTTTTCTATTTTCTTTTTAACAAGTCCATCTGTGAACATGTCTTTTGAAAAATTCCAATGCTGCAATGTTGTGAATTTTTATGAATTTTAGAATTGGGGCATTTTCAGGGTTAACCACTAGGTACATTTGGAGACTTATTTTTAAAAGGATAGAAATTAATAATACAAGAACTACATGGTGTTTACCAGCATGAACATTTAGAGGACATTATACCATCTGTTCCTTCCTGATAATGAATCCGAGGGAAATTCATCACTGCCTTCAGTCTGATGTGACCAACAGGATTTTAAAGATATGAAAACTAGCCAGACATCTGTACTATGAATCATTACTTCATTCTGAGCAAAAAATAACACAGGGTTTACTAAGAGATAGCATAATCTGTGTGGGGCAGGCCAGGTCTATAAAGAATTGTGCTGATGAGCCACTGGGGTACCAGTCACTTCTTATTTGTGGCAGAACAAATGTTTATGGTGCAGCTAGAACATTCTAACTGCACAGGCTGTGGCTCAAGGTTGTAAAATGTAGCTGAAGACATAGGACGAGCTGTGAGAAACCCAAGCTAGTACTAAGATGGTAGCTAACTGCATAGTCACAATATGAGTTACAAGTGTCACACAGAAACTAGAATATGAATGATGTCAGTGAGGTTAGGGAAAGCTACGTGAAGGGTAGGTATATTAGTTAGCATTTCTATTACTGTGAAGAGACATCATGACTGTGGCAACTCTTATAAAGGAAAACATCTAATTGAGGTGGCAGCTTACAGTTTCAGAGGCTTGGCCTATTATCATCATGGTGGGACATGGAGGTGTGCAGGCAGACATGGTACTAGAGCTGAGAGTCCTACATCTTGATTGGCAAGCAACAGGAAGTGAACTGAGCACTGAGTGTGACTTGAGCATATATGAGCCTTCAAAGCCCGCCTCCACAGTGACATACTTCCTCCAACAAGGCTACACCCACTGAAACAAAGCCACACCTCCTAATAGTGCCACTCCCTTTTGGGGGCCATTTTCTTTCAAACCACCCAAGAGACAAAGCATGTTCAAGAAAGATACTTGGCATAGGCAGGTGTGATGCACCTGACCTCTGTAACCTGCTCCAATGATTCTTACTCATCCTTTATGGCCCCCATGTTCCCAAAGCACCTTGGTTTCTCCTGATAATGACACTCACCATTCCTTGCCTGAGAATATTACCAATCTGTCATATGTCACATGATGTCATATCTGTCCTTCTACTATCCTCTTAATGTGCAGCAGCAACTCCAATATGGAGGGCGCTCAGAAAACTGAAATCTTATCAAAAGTGAGGAATAAGGCACAAGTAAAGGGTGGATTTGCATAGAGGAGAGTCCCACCCACACCCTGAGAGGCAAGAAGCCTGGCCACAGAGGGCCCATTAGTTGGGAGAAATGAAGGCTTTTTGCAGTAGGAATCAGGGAACCAACAATGGCCTACTGAATTTAAATTATATTTATTAACACATGTGTGTGTGTGTGTGTGTGTGTTTATGCTATGTGGGGATACTCATAGAGGCCAGAAGAGGGTGTCAGATCCCCCAGTGTTGGTGCTGGGAACCGAACCTGGGTCCTCTGGAAGATCAGCAAGTGCTTTTAATCACTGAGCCATCTCTCCAGTCCCCTACTTATTTAGACAGGGGTTCACTTGGTAGCCCAGGGTGGCTTCAAACTCATGATCCTATGCTTACCTCTTAAGTGCTAGGCTTACAAGCATGCACCATGATAGCCAACTTTAATTTAATTGATAAGTTGGCTGAATATTCTTCACCCTAAATCTCCCTCCTTCCCTCCCTACTTCTCTCTCCCACTTCAAAGCCAGAACAAGTATTTCTGTTGGGAGCATTCTGAAGTCTACTGTGGGCCTACAAAGTACCATTTTAGACCCACACATTTGATTCTCCAATCCCCAAACCTCAATAGCTCTCAAAGCCTATTGATTTTCTTGATAACTTTATGGTCTACTTTGGTGACAAAATCTATTCTGAATGGAGATGAGGCCACTGTGTTTCTTACGTGGTAGAACATACATGAGTTTGCTGCAGAAACATTGGTGGCTCTCGATTCTGGAGTGATGCTGGGTTTCATGTAGGGCACTTGACACACAGGCCATGAGGCCCTGTGAAGTCCAAGATGATCCAGACTCAGACTCACATGCCAGTGAGAGATTCAGGCAAGGAATTCTGTATTCTGTGTTTATAGCCTCACAAATCTAAAACAGTGCCCGAGGTATGGAGGCTGAGGTACAGAGACAAGGCTTGTCATTTTCTCCCTATGAATAGCTGATGCTCTTTACTCCTGGCAGTCATGTTCCATAAAGTCCTCATGGACACCATGTTAGCACTCCATGGAGAAACAACAAGCCTTGTCACATCGTTTATATTAAGCAATCAGTGCATGACATTGCTTAATGTGCGTTTCTATTTAGAGATGACTGCTTTTCTATACATTGATTCGTTAATGTGGAATTCACAGCTAACAGGACTAGGCTTATGCCTGAATGAAGCTTCTCCAACACATTTTTTTCTGTTCTTGTACTTAGAAACATTACAGAGCATTTTATTACTATGCTTCCATCCATTTTATGTAGTAAAATCAATAAATAGTAAATATATGCCAAATGAGAAACATCTTTTACCACCAGGGAGATAGAAACTAAAAGTACACTGAGCTTCCATCCTACCCCAGTCATAATGGCTGTTGTTAGGAAAATAAGTGCTGGCAAGGACGCAGAGCATTGCAGATATAATCTAGCAGTACCACTCATGGGTACTCACTCAAAGTCCCCACAGCACAGAAATACCTTGATGTTTATTGTAGCACTATCCACAACAGCCAAGGTACAGGCTGGACACTCACTGGCAGATGAATGGATAAGGGACATGTGGTGTATATTCACAGTGGCGTTTCATTCATCCGTAAAGATTAGTGAAATTACGCCATTTGCAAGAAAAAAGAAATGTAAATGGAACTGACACAAAATATGCCAGACTCAGATATTGCACATTTTCTCTTCTATATGGACTCCAGACTGAAAAGTCTATAGAGCTGGGGTGCAGCTTAGTGGTGGAGTCTCTCTCTCTCTCTCTCTCTCTCTCTCTCTCTCTCTCTCTCTCTCTCTCTCTCTCTCTCTCTCTCTCTCTCTCTCACACACACACACACAAACACACACATAAATATACATATCTTATGGGAGTAGACGGGGTTCTTAGGGAGAACAGAACAGAGAAGATAATGGGGGTGATGATGAGCAAAGTGTATGAGAAGTATGTGATACTCCCCCAAATTACAGCTATTATTATGTACTCATGAGAGAGATAGAGACAGGGAGGTACAGAGAGAGACAGACACAGAGCAAGCCAGAGAGAGAGAGAGAGAGAGAGAGAGAGAGAGAGAGAGAGAGAGAGAGAGAGAGAGAGAGAGAGAGAGAGAGAGAGAGAGAGAGAGAGAACATAAACTGGGGAAATTTCTCAAGGATAGAATGGTTGTCTGGATTCCCAGCATCCCTGATATTTCTCTCTCTCTCTCTCTCTCTCTCTCTCTCTCTCTCTCTCTCTCTCTCTCTCTCTCTCTCACACACACACACACACACACAAAGAGTCAGTGAAAGAAATCCTCAATGCAATACAGAACAAAATTAAATAAACAGACTGCAAAATCACCAAGAAAATGCATGAAAGAAAAATAAAGGTGAGATAAAACATATACCAACATGTATGTATGTTTGTTTATTGAACGAAAACGAAAATAAATATATATTGTAGCCTTGTTCAAACTCAGTTTGGATTCAGGTACTATGGGTGACTCAGTTTTGTGCCAATTTTGAGGGACTTCAAAAGGTTTCAGAGCTACAGATACATTTTTGAGAAGAGGTACTCACAAAGTGGATGCTATGCATAATAAAACCGAATGTCTTTTTGTCTCCTGCCACTCAAGACTGACACATGCATGCCGGGGAGGGTGGGGTGGCAGATGGTACCTTAGGCATTGTTGTCATGGCGGTGGTGACAGACACCTCTGTTGCATTCCCCCCAGGATCACTGACAGGCTTCACTTCTTCACGCTTGGTTTTGTACTGCACATTGGAGAAAAACAATTGCTCACAAAGCAAAAAAGTGGGTTTTTTGTTATTGTTGTCGTTTTTTGTTTTTGTTTTGCATCCAATTGGGGCTATACCACAAGGATGTTATTTTTGGCCAAATAACTGTCACCTAAGGGTTGTAATGATGGTGCATCTGTTGCTTCTAATTTTTGATGATCCTTCCCAGGAGGCACTAGGACCGAAAAATGGGATCTAAAAATCCAAACATCAGACTTCCACAATTGCCATTCAATAATACAAGAATTTTCCCCCTTTTATGACAGGGGAAAATGAGTAGAGAAATAATGCAACAGGAAGAAGGTTTTATCTGTAGGCACTTCCATAGACAGGGAGATTCCTGCCAACCATTTTTGTTTTTATAAACTGATCATTTTTAATCTGGAAAAATAACCTTATCACTATGATAAAAATAGCCACGGTGACTAATAAGTTCTGAGAAAGGTGTAACGGGGTGGTTGTATCCAGATCAGCAACACCTCCAGGGCTATGCTATGAGATTCCTTTTGAATTCCTCCCTTCAGCCAGCACTTTTTGGTTCTGTGAGGCTTCAATCACGGTGGATTGAGAAAAAGCTACTATATTAGGGTGCTAGAAAGAAATGTCCTCCACACAGAATCTCTGACAACTTCGAACCCTACAAACAGCCACTGTAACTGAGCTGCAAAGGCACCCCGTAAATAGAGGTGGCTCTGTAGCAGTGTAATTGCCATTTTTGTTGGTATACACAGAGGTTTCTGTCCAAGTAATTTATGTAAATGAATACAGCAGTTTGTGATAGACTCAGCTGTCTCAAGGAGCCCGTATAAACAGAAAAGGGATTTTCAGTTAGTTGAGAAATCTAAAACGGCCATGGCTTTGCTGTGGAGATCCAGCAACGGACACCTAATGTTAAGTAAAAGACCCAGTTCTGGGTGGGCTGGCCAACATGGTGTGGTTAGACACCGATGGTCACCGTGAAAGGGATGGGAAGGAAGAGATGTACAGTCCTTCTATCCACTGCACTGTATCTGCAGGAAGTCCAAGTTCTTTACAAATACAACATGGCTCTCCAAAGACAGACAAACAAAACAGCACATGCTGGCAGATTCTTGCTTTTCTCTGTGTGAGGGGAAGAGAACTCTATCAACCATGGCATGATATCACTACAGCCCTAAAGACAGGAGTCATCTGAAACTCCATCAGTCACAGGTGTACTTTCTGCTGTCAAGTGTTGATGGGATAATTTCATTTCTTGTGTCTTTGGAGAAAATGAAGTCTCAGTGGATCATAGGGACAGAGGGTAACTCAAGAGAAAACCACTGATGTTACCTGCTGAAAACAGGCTTGGACCAGGTTCTCAGGGAACATGTTCCTGTTGGAGACACAGAGAGCTTGATTATATCAGGGAAACAGATGTTTTCGGCTGTTAAACTATATATCAATAGAATTGAGAATAGCATAGAATGAATATTACGGTGTCTCTTCTGGCTTCTGCTTTGCATAGTACCCTTTGCTGAGTCCCCCCACCCCTGTCAACTGACACTTAACAGATTCCTTAAGTGACACCCTTACTGTTATTTCGGAAATGCTGCACTGGCAGATGGATACTCAGGGTTGAGACAGTTGTTTGATTTTCTGTATCTTTCCATTTTTATAACAGCCTGTTGCAAATTCTATCATAATTACCAAATTAAACGTGAACCAATGAAATATGGGTATCAAAGAAACTGTATGGATCCTATAAATAGCTAAGTTACATACCTTGAAGACGCAAGAAACCCAAATGACTATATTTTCTATGGTTGAGTTAGGTATGGTAGGACAGTTGAAATATAAAGAGAAAACTAAGGATTTAAGTATTTGGCCTAGTTGGCAATTTCTCATATTCTGTTGCTCCATTCTATGGAAACGGAGCCTAGTGATTCTCACAATGCATTTATAAGTCAGCAAATTCAGCAGAAATTATATGAAATTACAGTGGATGGTCACAAGTAGAGGCAATCATGGAAATTATATGAAATTGGTCACAAGAAGAGACAGTGGTGGTCCTACGTTGTCAAACTTCTCAATATGTACATATCCTGTAACTTCTACATTTGTTCTGCTTGAATTGACACTTTTCAATTCATTAATTTGTTTGCGGTACTGACCACCTTGAGGAAAGAGGGGTTCTCTGTATAATAGAAGCATGAATTTCTCTAAGTAACCTTCAGAAGTGGTCACCCAGTTCTGTCCAGCATCCTTATGTCAAGAGTTTTTCCTCCTATCTGTCCAGGATAAGTCATCAGGCAGGGGCCTGTTCTAATCATTGCTTTCTGAACCATGCTTGGAAAGTAGAAAGTACAAGCTATGTAACTTGTAGGACTTGTGACAAAAATGAAGATGTATATTAACTTAAATTTATTGAAAATGTTAAGATATTGGACTTGGGAGATGGTTCAGTATAAAGTTCAAATCCTTAGAACTCATGTAAAGCTGGGCACAATCGTACATACAGTGATTGTATGGTAAAAATGGAGGCAGTTACAGGGGAGTCTGCAGAAGTTCAAGGGTCAGCTGTCCTAGCATACAAGGCACAAAAGTCACAAAAGACCCTCACTCAAATAAGGAAGGAGAGGTCAACCATGATGTTGTCTTCTGTCCTCCACATATGTGCACCATACACACACTCATTTAACACACACCTACAAATGATTAGGCATGGGAGCATTAGATCACTCATGGGGCCTTGTGCAACAGTGTAGATGACCCATCCCAGAAGTCACCACCTGCAAGTCTCACCTGATTAGGTCCAACATGGCATCCACTGTGCTGACTTCAGGGCTTTTGCCTGACCTGTTGATTTCACTCACTTTCTGAGAGACACCAGGCTTAATGCTCACAACCAGCACAATACCTGTGGCCAAGGACAGTATTCATAGAGAATTAAAACCTTCCAGGGCAGCCAGGATCCTGGGGCGGTCTTTAGAGGACCAGATGACATTGTGGTCAAAGCAATACTGTAACATGGAGGACCCCAAGTTCTCAAGAAAGTGCTAAACCCTAATTACTACCTTACCCCCAACCCACTGAAGTAAGTGCATTAACAAAGAAATCTTCTTGCTTTTCTTTTTAATGAGTGAGTGACTTCTAGAATTGCTTTTGGACACACCAGGTCCATCTTTCTCCTGCTCTTCAGTCTATGAAATCAGCCACAGAAGGACTTGAGATAAAGGCATTTCATTTGGTTGATTCCTTTCCATTATTTCTACCTGTAGATACATGGCACCCTTTCTGGAACTCTCATCTAAAAATATTCTACTGCTCTAGATTAATTATCTAGGTTAAGATTATATAAATTCTTGGCCTTACTTCTTTCTCCCCAGTAATGCTGGCAGGGCACAGAAATGTCACTTTCTCTCTGTTTCTTATCAGAGACTTTGATATCCAGTACTACTGTCAAAATTTTGTCCGTATTGCATTTTGTTCATATAAAAGGTTTTATGCAGACTCGAAGGTGGCAAAAGCCTCGGATAATTTGACAATATTACTTTCTGACTAAAAATATGCATTTTAAGAAGCCCTGTTACTTTTTGAAGACAAAGTGACAAATACATAGAGGAAGAAGGAATCAGAAAAAAGCATCACCGAGGATCACAGCAATGATGGTGGTGCAGAAATAATACACTACAGCACGCAGACCAATTTTTCCAGATACATTGGAATCCAGTGCAGCGACACCTGGAGAGGGAAGGGAGAAAGGTCAAGACACAGTTAGATTTCCAGCTCTAGGGACACTAACAAGAGCTGTGAGGTCCATCTCACACAGTTCATAAGATGTAACAAAGACTTTAAAATGGTAAACGCAGAATTCAGAAATGGAAGCCCAGTGGGGCACACATTTCTTCCATAGCTCGTTTCCATGGCCATGGCCTCTGGTTTTCTTGGGGCTGGTCATACAATGGAAAGAGTCCCCCTTGTGCAGGTAATGTATGGACATTGTTAGGAGCTGTACATAATATCACTCAATAGCAGAGATAAACCTCTTTGAAATTCAGCATTGAGGAACCACTTATCTTGAACCAAGTTAAATCTTATTGCACAGTGACACTCATGCAAATCAAGTTGTGGTCACCCCAGTCTTTTCTATCAGGTGGCTCAAGCTGAGAAGATAGCATCTGCCTACAATTGTTAAGGTAATAGGTATTGATCACCCCTGCCCACAAACACACTTCATCTCACCAACTATAGTTAGCATTCTACTAAATTTTCTTCTCAAAGTTTTATAAACATAGATACGCTTATAGTTAATATAAGACTACTAGTCTTCACTGTCACAAACTTACGCTAAGGGTAATTTTAATTGCTGCATAATCATTTGACATGTGGCTGGATTGCAATGTGATTTTTGGTGCCTTGTTGTTGGATCTTTAGATTGTCTCTGAACCTAGTTCAATAATCAACCATGATAATGTCATTATTGACTGTAGCATATTTCCCAGCTCTTTTTATGATTTCCAAATTATTCCTAGGTGAACAAGTGTATGACACATGTTTGTTACTGTGAAATACCTCAAAATTCTAAGACTGGAAGGATACAGATAATTTCCATGGCACTGGAAAGTCAAGAGACTTAATGGCCACATAGTTTGGTCTATTTTTAAATAGTCTTAGCTACCAGTAAAATAAACCCAATGTTCACTAGTCTTTTGTTTGAAGGGATGGTTATATTACAGGCAGAAGGCATCTGTCTCTGCTAGAAGCAGTTCCCTCTCTCATGGATGCTTAGACAAGTGGAGTCAGAAGACTCAGAGACAGATATTGGGGTTCAAACTTCAAGCTGAAGACCAGAAAAGCAAAGCAGCTAGTCATTAGCTCTTACTCTACCTCAGACTGAAAGGCAATCCTGTCTCCACCAAACCTTGGACTGTAACCTCTCTTCAGCCTGGCTGGAGAACCCTGAGACTTCACTGTCTTCTTATCCTCAATGTGACTGGAGAATGAATGCTGACACTGACTACTGAAGACCCTGCTCCTAACTTTTATACCCTCTAGTGCTGGGATTAAAGGTATGTGATCTGTTACTTCTTTAGATTGATTCAATCTCATGTATTCCTGGGTGGCCTTGAACTTAGAGATCAGTCTACCTCTTTATCCTGAGTCCTAGGATTAAAGGTGTGTACCACCACTGCCTGATCTCACTATCCCGAAGCTGACTTTGCTTTCTGAATCCTCAGGCAAGCTTTAATATATCATAAAGAATATATCACCACAGTGTTCTCTAACTGAGTATATGGGAGAGAGATGGGACAGATTGATAAACTTCCCATCAGCCTGTCATTTGGAGGATTCAAATTCTACACTACCTGATTTCCAAACTGAAAATCCTATTTTAAGCCAAAGTATCACCACAGAAAATGATTTTGCATCTTAACATGAGTTGTCCCACAACTGTGTGCAGAGCCTGGAGTTCAGGGCAGTAGGAAAAGGGAAGAGGCAGTCAAAAGGCAACTTCAAAGGGAAGCCATTGAAGATGAAGGGCTGCCAGGGTGCACAGGTGACTTTCAGAGGTATGAAAGACCCATCCATCTTCTTAAGTGACTGGAGGATTGTGCTCCTCTTATTTCTCAGTACACATCTGAAGTACGGGAAAACTCTACAAGGATGTCTGCTGTGGAATTATACTGTTGTACACTTCGAAGATTTGTCACTGTTACTGGATCAATAAAGAAGCTGACTGGCCAATAACTGAACAGCATAAAGTTAGGCAGGAAAGCCAAACTAAGAATGCTGTGAAGAAGAAGGGCCAGGTCAGAGGAGTTGCCAGCAGACGCAGGGAGAAGCAAGATGGGCATGCCATATTGAGAAAAGGTACCAAGCCACATGGCAGAGCATAGATTAAAAATGGGTTAATTTAAATGTAAGAGTTAGCTAATAACAAGCCTGAGCTATTTATAATTATAATAAATATAAGAATTTATAATTAATATACGCATCGGTGTGTTTATTTGGGAGCTGTTGGGTGGACAGAAACTTCTGCCTACAGATGTTAGGATGACAGAAAAAAGTCATTTCTTATTCTAAACACCTGTGGACTACCCATCTGGCAGGTAGCATTTGGAGAGAAGGTCTCTGGCCTTCAGTCCCCACCCTAGATTTTATAAAGTGCCCATTTATCAGCTTCCAGGGAAAGACTGAAAGTCCAGTCTTTTGTGGGAGGGGTGGAAAAATAGAGTTTGGTGTGCTGATGGGAACTTATTTTTCTGACAGTAAGGCAATAAAAAGTAGCAGCTTCAATAGTAAAAACAACCCAAATACCCAAGAGAGCTGAAGGCCACAATTCAAAAATGAATGAACATGTCCTTATGGAAGATGTCACATGTTCTTTACAAGAATTTCAATGTAATCATGCCTTAAGCTTTGTTGTGCCCAAGGGATTGAGTTAATTATCACCAGGAAACATTTTCCCCAAATTGTAGTGTGCTTAAATATTCCTGAAATAAATAACCCTGGGTCAGACCCTCCAAGTTGGGACCAATGTCAGCTACTGAGTCCCACTGAACCAAATTTCCTTCTTTCCCTCCTGGACCAACATATCTTGAACCAACACTCTGCTGGCCACAGTGTTTGCAGAGACCCCTACATGAGGCAATCTCATGCCTGGTTCCTCCCCTTTTCTCTCTTTTTCTTCTTCCCAGGAGATGAAGTACCTCTCACCATCATGAGTTCAGTGCCTTCACCTCGAGTTCAGGACTAAGTTGACAACAAAAGGTTCTAAAAATGGGATCCTTGGTGGAAATATCTTAAATAGATACATCCCAAGTGACTTCAGCAACTCTCATGGACTCACCCTTAGGAAGAGCTTTATTCCCATTTTTCTCATGTCTTGATCATTAATGTTTCCCAATCAGACAAAATTTTACTAAAATCAACAATCACACTTCTCTAATATTGCCTACTCTCTCTACCATTATAGTCACAAAAAATGGAGGGTACCACAGCCCCCAAACTCAGGCTTTTGGGAGACTTACAATGCACCACAGGTGAGGGGGTTGGTGACTACTATAGAGAGAAGAAATATAGGGAAAACAGCTATATCTTCAAAACTATTACCGAAACAAGGACAGAATTTAATGATTATGAAGTATCTGTCTGGGTAATATAAATCCCTCATATCTGCAGCAGAAGAAGATAATGGTAACACTGTCTTGAGCAATGACTGCTCATTGATCACAGGTATCTTTTAATTGTCATTTTAACTTAACTGAGGTAGGCATCAGTAGCCCATTTTCAGAGAGTATAAATCTTTGGCTGTCACATTTATGCACCACAACACATCAGCTTCTTCCGTGTGCTATGAAATTCCAAAGCAGCACTGCCCAGTGGATCTTCTTGTGCTGTAGAAATTGTGTTTACGCTATCCACTGAAGTAACCTTAGGCTACATATGGCTAGTGAACACTTGCCAGGTGTCTAATTGACTGAAGCACTGAATTGTAATTTTACTTAATTGAAATGCATCTCTATTCAAATAGCCACATGTGACTCATGACTACCAATCATATGGACAACATAGCACGATCTCCACACCTCACCGGACTGTTCAGGATTAAATGGGCACTCAGCCATGCCAAGGGAACAAACTTAGACTTAATTCCATTAAGGAAACTCCTTGAACCCTCTCCACCTTGCAGTCATAGGGGCAGTAGAGAGGATTACACAATAAGCTCCATTCTCTTGCATGCTGTCCCCTACTGTTTCAAGCTAGAATTCAAGCTTGTCTTTAGAAGTTAGGGGCACCCACGGGCTCTTTATTATAGGGAAAAGGCATTTTCTTTATTTATCTCAGGAGGAGGCTCTAAGGAGCGATCGGGGATGTTGTTGCTTGGCCAGCAGGGTTAATCATCTGAACTTTTTATAATGACACTACAAAGGAAGCAGGGTGTCCTTAACAATAGCAGGCATTAAAAATAAATATCCGAGGGCAAGAGACTTCTCAGAGTGTTCACTGACGAAGCTGCCACCCACCTGAACGAAGTCTTCGTGACAATCTCTGTACCTCCTAGTCAGGGTGTCAAGATGATCTGTCACTAGAGTCAGGCATTTGCTAGCGCTCCAGAGGTCTGAGTGGACAGAGCATCCAAGCTCAGTGTGACACAGGAGTTAGACAACCATGTGAGTGACTCTAGCTCTGTCACCAGCGGGGAAGCCAGTTACAGGAAGAGGAATAAGCCTGGGCTTTGTTCCCAAACTCGGTTCACTCATGTACACGGTGGTCTTTAGTCACTTCTTCAAGCTGATATCGAGAAGCCAGCTGAGCCAGCTGGGCTGCACAGCCTGTGAGTGTTAGAGCTGCCACGGTCTGCAGCTGTGGCATCAGTCATCGGTGATGAGCAGCAAAACACACCCGATAAGCATTCTCACTATCCATTCCCCTTCCCTCCATCCTTCACTGAATTATCAGTCAATGTATCTTTTAGAACATCAAATGTTTTCACATTCCAGTATAATTACCCAGTGGCACTGAGGATAAAATAGTAAAGCCTCACCCTGGGGGATGAGACCCCACCGACACATCTCCAGCCTGCATGTGTACCTGCTGGACATATCACACCCCCAGCCCCCTTCGCTGTAGACCAGGCTCCTCCTCAGAGCCTTCACTCAGCCCCTTCTCTCCAGCTGTTATTCTCCACTCCTCATCTGGCTTTTAAGTCTTTTCCTTGGGTCACTTCTCTGAGCACCGAGGGTCTGTGATTGGCATTCTGTGTCTATTGTGTTTCAATTAAAAATAAAAATCAACTAGACTATAAGCCTCATAAAGTCTCTCACTCTCTCTCCACACCCACACCCACCCACCCACTCACCCCCCCACACCCACACCCCCACACACATGTAATGTATGCGAAGTCTCTCTCTCACTCTCTCTCTACACACACACACACACACACACACACACACAATGTATGCGAGTGACTATTTAACATATCCATGTGTGGTGGTCTACCTCAGCCTTCTGGGAAGCAGATTGTTCTAGAATGGAATTGCCTGTTCCAGGTGCTGCCCTGTGATTTATGTGATCTCCTAACTAACCCTAACCCTAACCCTAATCCTAATTTTGTTCCAAAGTCCAGTTTCCTTTTTTTTTTGACCACACCATTTGCAAATGGTATTTATTGCTTTTCATCGAGAGCTTTTTGAATTTACAAAAAAAAAAAAAGTGGGTCAAAGTTTTTACAGGCTGCTTAGTTTGTGCTGAGAATGCAAGAGGTGAGGCCCTGTGCTGCCCTGCCACTAGTGGCTGGGTACTGTTTACAGCTGCCCCAGAGGTACCCCAGATGGGAATACTGCCTCCTTACACACTGCCATTACATACTTGGTCATCAGTCAAGTCACTGGAATGGTACAGAGGTTTTGTTTGTTTGTGGTGTTTTTTTTTTTTTACCTTCCCACTATAAATAAGAAAATTTCAGTTCACTTCTGAAAAATAAATTGGTCAATAAATTCATTTTGTTCTGCTTCTACTTTACACAAAGCTTCATATTCAACTCGATACCTTTCCAACTGCATTTTCTTTTCTGCTATTAGTGCTTGCAGTTGTTGCTGTTGGGCTTCTCTCTGCTTTGCTATGGATTTGAGCAAGTTCCGAGCACCGATGGCCTTCATCTTCTCATTCTCTGCTTCTTTCGTAAGCTGATCAACAGGCTCAATTAGACCACCAACTATTTTCTGAAACTGGCCAATTTTGTCCACAAAATCCTTACACTCTTCCTTGAGCTCTATGGTCTGCTGTGTAACCTCTGGGTCCAACACCCGAAGCTTGTTCAGCTCATCAAAGTGCAGCCCTGCTTCCCCCAAGATGTCCTTGGCCATAGCTGCCGACCCGTCTTGGAGGCGCGCTGCGGCCCAGATGGCTGTCGGTGGAAAGTTCTCTCCGGTAACCGCGACCGGCCGCTGCCACGGATACAGGACCTATGGGTCCCACGTCACGCCGACACCAGAACCACCAGCATCCGCCCACCTCGCAATGCCTGCTGGGAAATCCCGGTTTCCTTATCTCTGCAGATGGAGACAAGACCCCACCCACTTGACTACTTCTTAGTGTTGCAACAAGGAGTAAACAAACATGTTGCCATTTTTAAAACTATAAAATGTTTTCTTTTCATTATCTAGAGGAAACACGGCTGGATTTGTTAATCTAGGACACTGGAAAACTCAGCTGTCAAGATGAATACTTCTGGCCGGGCAGTGGTGGCGCATGCCTTTAATCCCAGCACTCGGGAGGCAGAGGCAAGCGGATCTCTTGTGAGTTCGAGGCCAGGCTGGACCGACAGCCTCAGAAAAAAAAAATACAGAGAAACCCTGTCTCGTAAAAACCAAAAAAAAAAAAAAAAAAAAAAAAAAAGAATACTTCTGGGTTGGAAAAGGCAGAGGGAGGGGCTGGAAAGATGGCCCAGCAAGTAAGAGCCTGGCTGTTCTTTAGAGGTTCTGAGTTCAATTCCCAGCAACCACATGGTGACTCACAACCATCTGTAATGAGATCTGATGCCCCCTTCTGGCATAAAGGCATATATGCAAATAGAGCACTCATATACATAAAATAAACAAATCTTTTTAAGAAGGCCGAGGGAGCATGTAGAAATGTATTTACTTGTGTTCATGCTTCATCTGTGGCACCTGTTTTTCTTAATGACACTCATACAAAGAACTCCCTTTAAAAAGGGCTGCCTCACAACTCTGCACTTCTCTGGGAAGTTAACAAAACAATCTTGTACTCAGATTAAAGAAAAGCTATGCTGTAGCTGCTGTCACCTGGTCTATGTTTGATGCCACAAAGCCTGTCAAGAAACAGTGAGTGGGCTGGGGAGATGGACCAATGGCTAAAGGACTTGCTATGCAAACACGAAGAGTGGAGTTTAGATTCTCAGAACTCACAAGAAAATCTGGGCGTGGTGGTATAAGTTTGCAACCCAGCATGATGCAGGGGAGGCAGGTGGGCCCTGGGAGCTTGCCAGCCAGCCCGCCAGCTAGCTAACATAGTTAACACACACACACACACACACACACACACACACACACACACACACGACGGTTATTCTGCTGTTTGCACTTTTTCCCGTACCACAGACTATTGGAGGCATTGGTGTTTGGGGTCAATTGTTCAGGAGATCCAATGAGCTCTTCACAAGGCTTATTATCCAATGGATGCATTCAACACAGGGTAGAGCATCGATTCTCAACCTGTGGGTCACGACCCCCTTGCGGGGCAAATGACTGCTTCACAGGGGATGAGTAAGACCACCAGAAAACACAGGTATTTACATTGTCATTCATAACCATAGCAAAATTGCAGCTATGAAGTAGCATTGAAAATAACACCTTCAACAGTCAAAACAACCCAGTGGGTCATGCTTTACGAGACTCAATGAAAAAAGTGAGACTTCAAATTCTTCAACTAACTCACCTTGTTCTCCTCCACTGTTTCATTCTACAGCACCTTCTCAAGAATTAATTAATAATCCTTTTTTTCCATACAGGGTCTTATGTAACCAAAATTAGATGCAAACTCACTATGTCACTATGTAGCCAAGGCTGGCCTTGAATTTCTGACCCTCCTGTCTCCATGTCCCCTTGCCTCGGATTACAGGCTTGAGTCACTACACCTGCCTTGAAGCCATAAGGTCATTTAAGGCCTCAGCTTTTCTTGGTTAAAAAGTAATGGATAGAGAGAGGTTTCCTTTTATGGTATAAGCCAAACCTGAAACATTTTACAATCCTAATGTAGAAGTTAGAGTAACAATCACTTTATAATCTGTGGCAATGTTTTTGAAATCTTCTGAGCACAAAGTCAAAATATCTTAGAGAATCTTACTGCTGATACACACCCAATCATTCAAGCACCTCTATCCTGGTACTGCTGTTTTTGATAAATGGAGGGCAGACAGTTTGTCTAGGGTTTGGTGATATTTCCTGAGCAGGATTCACACTCATGGCCTGGGAGAGACGTGGAGGGAAAGAAGGGCATGTTCTCAGCTTGGCATAAACTTGGAATGCCCAGAGCCATTCTCGAGGGACATTTCCTGACTTGCTATGCACTCCCTTGTGTGCTGCTGGCATTTGCAGGAAACAGTTAGGAATGAGCTTCCCCCTGATCTGGGGAAGAATATACAATGAAGTCAACATTTATCTGATTCACCCAGACCTGGACATTCTCCAACCCCTACTGGCTGGGTGGATATCCATATGCAGCAGCATAGGAGGTACTAGGGCTAAGTACTTCGAGGGACTCACAAGCAAAGACCAACCCTCTGAGGCAACAAAGAGGCTTTCTCCAAGGTGGATGGTCTCTGATGGCACATATATGGGAAGAGGACACGCTTCCCAGAACAGGAAGTTTGGGTGGCAATGAAGCTTTTCTTCAATGGAATCAGGTGTTGGGCCCGAGGTGCGTCGTGTTGGAATGCTCTCGTCTCCTGCAGAGGCAGAAGCTTCTCCATTGTCTTGGAAGCAGGGTAGCTGAGCAGATGGGAGCCCTGTTGAGGAGCACAGACCCCGAACAGCCCTTTCTGGGAGTAACTGAATACCAGTGTCTCGGCTGCTTCTGATTACGCCTAAGTCCTTGGCAATGCTTGGTCCTCATCCATTCTGTGGAGAATTGTTAAGCTCCTCGGTTAGTGGAGAAGAGAAGGGGAACCTTATCTGGATCAGCCACAGCAGACAGCAGGGGGCATGGCTGTGCCTAACAGAGCACAGTGCGCCTGGCGGCCGCTAAGAGCATCCAGGAAGATGCGCCTTGGAATCCTGGAGTGAGATGGGAAAGGCCGATCTTTTCGTGTGCTGGTGGTGGGAAGCTCCAGCCATCAGACTTACTGTACCGAAGAATTGTGACCAGATAGAAACTCGTGAGCCGTGGAGACAGAGTCCCGGGTTTTCGCAGAGCCACAGTTCTCAGGCAGCTCCATCACTTCCGCCATGATTCCTCAACTTGTTTGATAGCACTTAGCTTAAAAACCGAAACTTTCAAAGGGCATGTGTGTACATCTTCACCATGGCAGGAAGGTACCCTTTCTTCAGGATGTAAATTATGGTGAGAATTCTGGCTTCCTATGACACCCGGTCTCTGGAAATGCCCAACCCCCTCCATTCTAAAGTCAATGTGAGATCTTGTGTCAGGTCACCTCTACGTAGCTCCGTGTGCGTTTAGAAAATAAGGGCATTTTGTTCATAAACCTGCATATCATTATCACTTCTTGACTAAATAATTAACAGTCACTCCATACTATTTAATAGCAAGTCTAAATTCAAATTTCCCTGATAAACATGATTTCCTAACCACACATCACCAAGAAGGATGCTCAATGTTAAAAATAAAATACAGCTATAAAATATGCATTTTTATTCCCCAAAGACTTTGATGACAAATTAGTTTTTGTTGTTGTTTTTCCTGCAGGAGCTCACTCTATTCGTCTTGGATCTGAGTCTTAGCAGTTCTTCTGCATCTACCTATTTCCAGGGAACCGATTAGACCCCACCCACAACCCACAGCTTTCCTGACATTTGCTCCTGTTGTACCTCCTACCCACAAGCCCCCACCAGGAATGGATTAAGCCATTGCACTAGGGAAAGGCTTTTGCAATAGGATCACCTTATCTCTGGGTGCTCAGGCAAAGAAGGCAGGACTGGCATGCCAGGGTAAAAGCGGCTTTGGCAGGGAAAAGAGCTGGGGAAGGGAAGGAGGCAGGGGACTAGCAGAGGCAGAGTCTGAAGCCCACCGTGAAGAAATCCACTCTCTGATTTCTTTCTTAAACCAAAAGGAAATACAAAACAATACAAAGAAACATTGTAACAAAATAACACGTGTTCGCCTAAAAAAACGTGAAGAAAGCACAACAGGCCATATTTTATTTCTGTTCTCATTGAAAGGCTGTTAATCTTTCAGTTTTGGGTCAACTTTTAAGTGTCTCTTGTATTGTATGATTTGTTTCTTCTGTTCAGAGCTATACTGGGAACATTCTCATGGGCCATTTGGTATGTATCCAAGCAGGCCTTTAGCAGTGGAGCAGTGGCAACATGCTAACTTACGTGTGTAACATCCATTCACACTGTCATTATGAAAGCACCATCTGGAGGGTCCTATACCTGGGTGTTGGAATGGGTCTCTATGAATATACCCCTTTATGATAAAACCTGTCAAGACTTACTTGCTGGAAATGCCAGAACATGCTCCCTGCTGCCTTCCAGAGTGCGTCTAAGTTGATATGGTAACAGAAAAGGTATAACTGAGTTTTCTCCCCTACATTCCTGCCAACGCTCTCCCCCACCAAGCTAAAGATTAGACACATGAATGTGGTATTGCCCCCCCCCCCAGCTGTGCCTTTGCTGGTGTCGGGTAAGCCTTTGACCTTTCACTGTTTCATACCAAAAGAATGAGGCATTGTTTTACTCTGGCTCCTGGTGATTGGTAAAGGGAAAGTGGAACGCTATGAGCTACTATTGGAACAGAGCTGGGCTACTCAAGGAATCTGAGAGTTGTAAATTCTTCCCATACATAATTTTCAAGGTCATACTATACAACAAAACTTCCAGACTGCAAATCTGGAAGAGTTTTTTTTTTTTTACTGTCAAGAGTAACACTGTCCAAGCATATACTATTATAGAAGTAGTATATCCATACACATATTTTTACCCTTTCTTCTAAACTTTGGCTTACTATGTAAAATTCTGAGTTTGCTTTCTACTCTGGATTAGCTTTTTTTGGTTTTTGGTTTTTGTTTTTATTTTCCCCATAAACCAGAAGAATCAAACTAAGTCATACATAAGCTTTGCATAGATGCATGAAAAATAGCCTGTATATGTACAAATGTGAGTATTTTTCTTGAGAGAGAAGCCCAAGACTTCTTATTGTCTAAAAGAGTACAAGAATTGATTTAAGAATCTTTAATAGGGAGAAAATTCTAAGTTATAACTGCAATGCTTACAGGGAACAAGCAGGCAATGAGAGAGCACAGAACAGGGAATGGTGACTGGTGACTTTGGTGTCCTCAAATGCATTTGTGACAGCTAAATTGAACAGCTTTCTCTTGCTCCAGGACACTATTAATGTGGAGAAATATGGGTCCAGTGTCTGCAGATTTGATTTTTTAATGCTAGAAATCTGGGTATTTATAAGAAATCTCCCAAACCTTAAGTGCTTTCAATAATTTAAATAAGCAAACATTATATGAGACAAATAACAGATCATCTGTCCCCACCCCACCCCACAGGCCACTAGGCTTGAAAGAAACTGGTAATTTTTAACCATAATTAAACCCATACATAAAAGTAATTAAATGTTCTCTTCAGGTTTCTAATAAGCCAAGAACACCAAGGTCACTTAAGAAAAATGGTCCCATGGGGCTCTGGTCTAACTGGAGTTTGGCACCTGGGAACAGGCAATTGTGACAGCTTTTCAGAGAATGCAGTTGGTGACAGCAAATGCTGACAGTATCACCACCTCTAATGTCAGACTCAACATACTGAGCCTTTACCATAATACTGAGAAAAGAGTTCTGGAAGGAGGACATGTCAAGACTCCTAATTGCATAGTTACATAAAACCTTGCATTTTCAAGTCCATAGCACTAGTGAGAGACATCATGGCACATTTACCAAGTGCCAGAATTAAAGTAGCACAGAATCACACAGCAGCATACCAATTCCAGAAAAATGGCATTAAAAAATAAATCAAGTTACTCTCTACATAAGCATGTTTGTTGCTGTTTGAAGGAACTCTATGATATAATGATCTAAAAGAGAAAAAGCATTTCCAAATCGAACTGTGTTGTAAGTGCAGATTTAAAAACACTAGTATTCGCCAGGAGGTGGTGGTACACGCTTTTAATCCCAGCACTTGGGAGGCAGAGGCAGGCAGTTCTCTGTGAGTTCGAGACCAGCCTGGTCTACAAGAGCTAGTTCCAGGACAGCCTCCAAAGCCACAGAGAAACCCTGTCTCAAAAAAAAACCAAAAACAAACAAAACAAAACAAAACAAAACAAAACAAAAAACACTAGTATTCCAGACTAGGATGCAAATGCTAATTAAACCTTTCTATTGCTCTGGGCTGCTGACCCCATGTACCTCCAGGGCAGGTACATAGCTAGTGCTGAGCTCTGTGGAGGAGGGGAAGTGGGTAAGGAGCCAAGAGGAGGGGCACCCTCAGGACAGCTGGCCAGAAGTTAGCGGGCAGGAGATTCGGAGCTGGGAACCAAAGAAACCAGCTATGGAAAACACGATCCAAATTGACTATTGTATTTTTTCCAAGGACATAAGCTGGCATTTCCATGGCCAAATATGCATTTCCCTATTCTGTGCCCTAGATAGAGTTTTATTCATAATATGTTTAAAAATGGCATCTTGCGCACAAGACATCACATGTTGGACAAACAAAGGTTTAAGCTGTGGTCCACAGTAACTGAGGGACAACGACATGATGCAATGCCACTTAGAGAGTACCGTTACATTTCTAGTCAAGGGAATGTGCTTTGCAAATGTGTGTGTGTGTGTGTGTGTGTGTATGTGTGTGTGTGTGTGTGCCTGTGTGCATGCCTGTATCATGCACCTAATGCCTTTTGATTTTTCCATAGTTAGTAAAGAACAGCCCAGGTTCTCGTGGGCTCCTTAAATAACAGAACACAAGGTACCTGTGATCATGCTGGATATAATCAATGGCAAGATGACAAGCTTCAGCATCCTCATTAGAATTTCTCCAGGAAAAGCAAAGTAGAACTTATCCAGATTTGAGAGCTCACTGTGTCCACGAACCAAGACTCCTATGACAATGCCTAAGAAAAACAGGGAAGAGAGAGGAAACACTTTTAGTTCTCTTGCATATAATTTGATGGGAATGTACTAGAGAATGCGAATTTCAATGGCAAGAAGAGCTGTTTAGACCATCTCTTGCAAATCTATAAAGTTTAGACTTGGAAAATCCAGAAGGTAGTGAATAGGAAGCATGTACTTAAAATTGCAAAAAATAATATTCTCCATATGAAAAGTTTTGTTTCCATTTCCTCCTCATTGATTCTGTATATTGGAATGGCACGCCACCAAAGACTAGGAAAGAAAAAAGATTCATCATCATACATTTCTTGTCCTCCTTGTCTCTTTTCTTCTCTCTCTCTTTTCCCCTCTGTAGTACTGAACAGCAAGTCATCTAACACTAAACTATATCCAATTCCCCAAATCACCATCTTTTGTAACCCACTATGACTCTTTTCACAGGTCAACTTATATTTTATTCATAGCAGAGACCTTCCTTATATTCTGTAGTTAACTTATAGTTGTATTTTTCTCATAAGTTCTTTTTACAAAATACATTTGGGGGACTGGAGATTCACTGGTTAAGAACACTTGCTGCTCTTACAGAGGATGCAGGTATTGCTCTCCGTACCCACATGGAGTGTCTCACAATCACATGTAACTACAATTTTCAGAAATCTGACTTCATCTCACCTCCTTAGACACCTGCATGCATGTGGTGCAACACACACACAGAAACACACACACACAATACACACACACACAGAAAAACACACACCACACCCATACATACACACACACACCACATACACACACATACACACACACCACATATACACACACCACATACACACACATACACACACACACCACATATACACACACCACATACACACACATACACACACACACCACATATACACACAGAAGCACACATACCACATACACATATATACACACACACACCACATACACACACAGAAACACACATACCACATACATATATATACACACACCACATATGCACACATACACACAAATACACACACCACATACACACAAACATACACACACACCACATACACACACCCCACATACACACACAGTAAATAAATCTTTTAAAAGATAAATTTTTATAATAAATTCATCTGTTTATGCAGCTTTTATAATTTTAAGAGGAAAATAATTTCTGTTTGGTTTTTAGACAAGTCTTTCTATATACCCCAGGTGGCTTCAGATACCTCCTGCCTGAGTGCTGAGATTGCAGGTGTGTAGTACCACATATAACTAATTTACTATTACTTTGACAGATACCACATTTTGGAGCACCAATATTGTCTAATGATTTTCATTCATTATTCTAGTTATTTTAAATAATGACATTCTTAACTCTATCAAATCAAAAGTCTTTTTAAAAAAGATTATACTTTCTTTTTTAATTTAAATTAGAAACAAGCTCACCCTCCCCATCCTCACCCACTCCCTACTCCAACCCATTTCTGCTCCCCAGGGAGGGTAAGGCCTAATCCAACCACTCTTAGAAGAGAAAGTGGGAGGTACCCTTGAATGAATTGGTATAGGAGACCGCTTCCTGAACATAACACCAGTAGCACAGACACTGAGATCAACAATTATAAATGGGACCTCCTGAAACTGAGATGCTTTTGTAAGGCAAAGGATATAGTTAACAAGACAAAACGGCAACCCGCAGAATGAGAAAAGATCTTCAACAATCCCACATCTGACAGAGGGCTGTTTTTCAAAATATAAAAAGAACTTAAGAAGCTAGTCACCAAAACACCAAATAATAAAATTAAAAGGCAGAATACAGAACTAAATAGAGAATTCTCAATAGATTATATTTTATTTTAAATTATGTGTGTGTCTGTGTGTGGGGAGTTGCACACATGAGTGCAGTATCTGTAGAGGCCAGAAGAGGGCATTAGATCCCCAGGAGCTGGAGTTACAGGCTGTTGTGAGCTTCCCCCAAATGGGTGCTGGGAATTGAGCTCAGATCCTCTGGAAAAGCACTAAATGCCCTTAACTTCTGGGTCATTTCCTCAGCCTCAAGTGTCCTTTTATGAAGCTTTTGATCCTGATCTCCTTGTATTTGAGCTTTGTAATTATGTAAACACAAGGATGTTGTCATTATTAAAAATGTTCAGGTCCCCCAGGTTAAGTGCAGTCTCATGAAACTGCTCTGCTTTAGACACCAATCATAAGCCGTAGGTAGTGGCTTGAGTTTCTGGCTGAACTTCTCTACATCAGGGTTCCTATGGCCTTCCCATTGGGTTCAATTAGTTTGCTATTACAGATTGCAAAACTAAAGCTAGCATTAAGGATATTACAAAGCATATGATGAATGGCCAGGGGAGCTGACACACAGGTCCATGAATGGGAGAAGGTGTACAGAGCTTCCCTGCCCTGTGGTACACAACTTCCCCAAACCTCCATTTGTTCATTTATCTAGAAGTACTAAAACTTAAGCCTTTTATGAAAGCTTCACTATACAGACATATTGATTATTCTATCATTGACTATTGGTTTATCAACTCCTTCCTCCTCCCTGAGGAATGCCTTGAACCACAAGGTTGGTTTGTTCCTCTGGCAACCAAACACATTCTCAAGATAGGAGGGCCCCTCATTAATCTCAGTAATCCAAGGATTTTACATGTCCAACAGCCCCGGACCCTTACCTTATGTGTTGTAATTTCAGTAACCTACTTGAATCTCAGTCATAAAATATTGCATGGAAAACTCCAGAAATAAATAATAGGTTATTTATAAATAATTTTTAAGAGAAGAAAAAGAAACAAGAAATGTTACAGATTCTCTGAAATTTTGTCTTAAGATGTCTATGTGAAAATCACCCGCTGTATGGGGACCCAATTTAACAATGACTTTGATCACTAAAACTTATAAAATATTAACATTTTCTTATTATCTTATTCCAACTACTTCAAATAACATCTAACTGCTCTGTCTTGCTTTTCCCCCAAAACACACACCTTTTTTTTAAAATAAGAAATAAATGAGTTGGATGACTGTCATATCTTCCTTCCTGTGTGTGACATGCTAGCCTGATGAGTGGCATGTTAGCTGGAGGGGAAAAATGACTAAATCATAGGAAGATTCAAAGAGGATGTCATTGAATATGCAAATTCAGAAACTCAAATGGGTTAGGAAAACTCAGACTCATTTGGGCACAGTCACCACAGGGCAATGAAAAGGGAACTGAATTATAATGAACAATATAATCTTCACTTAAACACAGGTATCCATTCTAGTGGATGAACCACACAAGATACATTTTGGAGAAGCTAGCCTTTACCTAAATTCTCCTCCTTTGTTTATTTTGCCTTGACACATATTGATAGTTAGATATTTCCCAAAATGTGTCTATAAAACAGAAGAACTCTATTATCAATCCAATGTAGTTTCTATGTTACAACAGTGTTGGAGACTCATGAATAGTTAAGATACTAAGTATTCAAAATATTTTAAATAAATTTAAAAAGCATGACATTTTCATTTCTTGCTTTGTGAATTGCCTGTCTTCAACTGTTTCATGGAATGTCAACCGGTTGCTTCAGGTAAATTTTGGGTTTTTATGTAAAAGGAATCTTGGTCTATAAAAATAAAGGTGTCTGTACTCAAAGCCAATGACAACAGCAGCCACAGAATTATTTCATTGAGCAGCAGACCCTACATGCTCAACCTTCACACTTGCATTAACAATGAACGAGAACTGTGCCTGTAATTATCTCCAACCCATATGGGTGCAGGCTGGCGAGGAAACACTGTGTATTTTTTTAGCCTTTAGCCAGATATGGGTTTTTATGAGGGAAACAAAAGAGCTGCTATGTGGAACAGTTGAAAGCAGTGCATGACGAATAAATGGGGCATTACATTCAGTAATTACGATTTTTATCAAGCTCGTTTGAAGTTGAATGCCATAGTACCCTAATAGCTTTTCTTTCATTGCAAAGACTAGAAATGTCAACCAATCTTTAAGGAAGTAGTCTAGTCAGAGGTTCACAACGGGCACCCTGGCGTCCTGATCTAAAAGGGTCTGGTGAGTAACCTTGACCAAGGGGTACAGCTTAGAAGTGGATGTGCTTTACTTATTTCAAGAAAATTTGGAAACATCAGATTCAAGACAACGGCAACAACTCCAGTGTTTCACAAGGTCCTCACTAACTACAGATGTCTGTTCAAGGCAATGATGTCAGCTGTAAGGAAAACTCAGCAATCCCTGGGTCAACTTGATTCTGTCAATCTATGAAGTATAAAGCTAGGGCATTAGTATATAAGAAAAAAGGCATTTTCTGAACTCATGTCCACGACTAATGGAAAGTTCTAGGCTCACACAGCTGAATGTAATGCTTGTCTCTTCCTTTGTTTACCGAGCAACCTGGTCCACTCTCTGGTCAGTACTGGCTCCCAGTTGCTCAGGAGTAGTACTTTCAATGAAGTGTTGTCTCTCTTGTTAGTGATGTTTGATTTCTTTCTTATTTACTGTGCCCATGCCAACAAGTGCTGTGGAATAATCCTCTGTACCCTGTGAGTATGTATTACGCTCATTGGTTAATAAAGAAGCTGATTGGCCTATAGCAAGGCAGGATACTGGGATGAAGACGAGTGGAGTAAGAGAGTCACCAGCAGATGCAGAGAGGGCAAGATGGGTACACTGTACTGAGAAAAGGTACCAAGTCACGAGGCAAAGCACTGATAAAAATATGGGATAAGTGTAACAGTTAGCTAGTAACAAGCCTGAGCTATGACCAAGCATTTGTAGTTAATATTGAGTCTCCGTGTTGGTTATTTGGGAAGTGGCCACAGCACGGGAAAACTTTGTCTACAAACAAGTGTCCACATCTGCTATCAGGAACCTTGGGCTGGGTGAAGGTGCACAGTCTCCAAAGCCAGAGGGTGCTGTGAAGAATTTCTAACCTGGAGGTGAATAGCCACATTCACCGGGGAAGGACAGTTCCCCAGCTAGGGAGGGGGAAGATGAATGACC